TGTCAGACCAAGTCACGCTCGCGGAGAAGCACTTGGAGGGCGGCAAGATCAGCGCGAAGCGTTGGAAGGGCGCGAAGTGAGCGGCCCGCGGGGGAGGGAAATGGAGGGAGGGGGAGGGAGGGAGAGAGGGGGGAGCGAGCGAGGGAGGGGAGAATGGGGGGAGGGCCGAGGGGGTCCGGGCGCGGGAGGAGGGGGGGGGAAGAAACGAGCGAGCAGCCACGGGCAGCGCCCCCGCCAGCACACAAAAGCAACTGCCTGCGACTGCGGCTGGCCGACAAAAAAGAAGCGCGGCGAAGCGAGGAGGCAAGGCGCCTCCTGCGCGCGCCGCTTCGCGCGACAGCGCTGTGTCTGGCGGGAGATGTCGGAGCTCATGGGAACGCGTGGAGGCGAGCTCTCCCGCTGAGGAATGGGAGGGGCAAGGAGGCGCTGTCTCCTGTGAAGCGCGCGTTCGAAGTTCGAGTTTCGGACTCCGAACCTCGAAATTGGAATCTCAAATTGAAGTTGAATTCCCCCCAGCCCCTCCTGCTTCGGACGCCGCCTTCGCCCGAAGCGGTTTGCCCGGCGGCGGGCGCCTGGCGGGCCGCGGGGCGGGCGCGCCGCCATGTTCTCGAAGCGCCAGCCGGCGGTGGACGCCGGCGCGCTGCCGCCTGCAAAGCGCTTTCGCGCCACCTTGCATACGAACATGATGAGGAATGCTCTGTCGTCGGGCGACATGCAAAGGCTCGCCGCCGACGCCAAGGAAGGGGGGGCCGTGGGCGTTGGGGGCCTGAGAGCGGGACGTGCCAACACTTGCAGGACCTTAAGGAGGAGATTGCTCCAGGGGGCGTCGTGGCCGAAGGAGTGCGCGGCAAAGATCAGCGCGTGGAACACCAAGCGTCATCGAGAAGAGACAAAAGAAGTGCCCCTGTTGCTGCCGCACGAGATCCTCCTGGCGCTGGGCAGGCGCGGCGACCTGCACGTGCTGATGCAGAAGCAGGGGCTGGATGAGGGCGACTGCGCGCACATGCAGGGCGTGGATGCGAAGCTGGGCAGCCCCGCGGTGGCCATCGGCCTGTGGCAGGACGGGGCCCCCACCAAGTGGGGCAGATCTGCGTCGGTCGAAGTCCTCAGCGTGGACTTGCCTGGCCTTGATCCCGACGGACCCTACGGCAACTTGAGAATCCCATTGCTCAGCATTTTGAAGAGCCACTTGTCCACGAACACCTGGCGCGACATCTTCGGCATCATATAATGGAGTTTCCTGCGTTTGTGGAGAGGCTTCTGCCCGCGAGAGCGGCGCGACAAGACGCCGTTCTCGCGCTCCTCAGATAAAGCTCAACAAGCGTGGGCCGACCGCAGGACCCTCGAGGGCTCCTCCTTGCCAGCCCGCGGTGCCCTGGTGCAGTTTCGCGCGGATTGGAAAGCGTGGAAAGAAGTGTTTTCCTTCCCCACCTGGAACGAGGGCTCGGGGTGCTGCTGGAAGTGCAGCGTCATCCCGGGGGGGGCGACTGGCCCCGCGCAAACGCGGGGGGGGGAGAAGGAGAAGGAGGAGGAAGAAGAGGAGGAGGGGGAGGAGGAGGAGGGGGAGGAGGAGCAGGAGGAGGATTTCTCGGTTACACCTGGCATTGTTTCCGCGCCCCCTTTTTCCTCCCCGCTCTCCTTTGCGCGGCCCCCAGGTGACGGCGCAGACGTCGACGAGTTCTCGGTGGGCGAGGCCAACGAGCAGGCGCTCGCTGCAGGACGTGATCGCCATCATCCTGCGCAACGCAGGCCGCGTCTCGCCTGCGCTGAGTATCCCTGGCATCACGATCGACGTGTTCAAGGTCGACTGGTTGCGCGCCGTGGACCAAGGGGTCGGGGCGGATTTCGTGGGGGCCTTGCTCTGGCACATCACGAAGAAGCTCCCAAGGCGCCGCCGCGCGCAACAGAGCGACGAGATGTGGGGGCTCATCCAGGCGCACCACGACGCGCACTCGACGCCCGACCGCCTCCACGACTTCAACGAGCGCACGGTGAAGCCCAAGAAAGCGTACCCGAAGTTCCGCGGCCAGGCGGCCATCCTGAGGCATCTGATCCCATTCTGCAAGGAAGCGGCCGAGACGCATTGCTTTTCTGGAAGTGCCGTGGACGACGCCGCGCTGAACGCCATGCGCCACTTGCACTCCTGCTACCACACGTTGAGCGGCCAGTGCATCTTCAGAAAGGATCTGATGCGCGACTCCGCCAGCAGGTTCGTGACCTTGTTTGCCTCTCTTGCTGCGCTGCAGCCGAGGAGTTGGCGCGTCAAGCCGAAGGCGCACCTGCTCCTCGAGATGGCCTTCGCGGGAGGGCAGCCGTCGCTGTGCTGAACCTACAGGGACGAGGACTTCGGGGGCAGCGTGGGCCACGTGGCGAAGAGGCGCGGCTCCCCGCTCTCAGCGACGGGCTTCTCCCGAGCGGTGATCGCGCGCCACCGCATGCAGCCGATGGTGCGGCTCGTGTGACAGCCGCGCGCGCGGACAGAACACGCGCACGCGCCACAGCGCTGCAGAGGAGCGGCGCCTCCTGCTCCACCAGGGCGCACGCGCCCCCTTCAGGAGGTCACACCTCCTTTTTCGACTGTTACACCGTGTTTGAGCATGCGTCGACGCTGACAAAACGGTGTTCGCCTGAACAAGCGGCATTTGTCACACCGCTGCTGCTCATGACCCCGGGCGCTGGCCACGTGTACTGACTACCTACCAAACCACCCCAACCCAGTCCCGATGACCCGAATGTCGCCCGATTTTCGGGTTGGGGGGTACGGGTTTCATACGTGTTTTCCCCACGTTCCCCGACCCCCCCCCACACTGGAAATAGAGGGCAGATCGGGGCCTTCGGGTTGGGTTGGGGTGGTTTGGTGGGCGGTGGTGTACACGTCGTTCATTTCTAATCGTGCTCATTTCTAATTGTGCTCGTTTCTAATTCTTCCTGGCCCCCCAGTGGCCAGGAAGAGGCCCAGGATATAATGATCAGGCATGAAAGGATCTTGCCCCCCCAAAAAATCGAAGAAATTTCGAAGAATCAGAAATCAACTATGTGTACTGCCGACCTCGAGATCAAGACAACGCTGTCCCGAGAAATTCGGGCAGGCCTCGAGGCAAGATCACGAGCACGCCGTGGGCCCGCCCTGCGCGTGCAGCCTCGTGCGCGCGCGGCGCATGTCGTAACGAGCGGGCTTCCCTGGGGGGAGGAGGAGGATGAGGAGGAGGAGGATGAGGAGGAGGAGGAGGAGGAGGAGGGAGGAGGAGGAGGAGGAGGGAGGAGGAGGAGGAGGAGGAGGAGAGGAGAGGAGGAGGAGGGAGGAGGAGGAGGAGAGAGAGGAGGAGGAGGAGCAGGAGGAGGGAGGAGGAGGAGGAGAGCAGGAGAGGGGAGGAGAGGGAGGGGGAGGGGAGACGAGGAGGAGGAGGAGGAAGAGGAGGAGGAGGAGGAGGAGGAGGAGGAGGAGGAGAACTCGGCCGAAGAAAGCTCGGGTGAAACCAGTCAGGGGCATCGGCCCGCCCCCGAACGTGGGAGGCAAGAAACATGCCCCTCTACTTGCTGGAACAGGACGGTGCTGAGAGTGGACCGGGATGTGGGCGTCCAGAACCACGGCGGAGGAGGAGGAGGAGGAGGAGGAGGAGGAGGAGTAGGAGGAGGTGGAGGAGGACGAGGAGAGTGGACGGGATGTGGGCGTCCAGAACCACATGCTCGCGACGAGAGGTTCGTAACAGCGGCGGTGGCAACAGCACGAGCCACAGCAGGACTGGCGACAGCATCAGCAGCAGCCGAAGTCGGAGAGACGGCTCGCCCGTGGCGCTCCAAGCCGCCGTTGCGGCCGCCTCTTCCTCCCCCTCTGCAGTCAATCCTACCTCCTCCTCCTCCTGCTCCTCCTCCTCCTCTTTTCCTCTCCTTCTTCATCCTTCAACATGTCCTCCAATTCCTCCTCCTCCAAGACCTTCGAGTCCTCTGCCTCATCTGGGCCCTTCAAGCCTTCCTCCTCCTCCTCCTCCTCCTCCTCCTCCTCCTCCAGGTCCTTCGTGCCCTCTTCCTCCTCCTCCTTCTCCAACAAAACATTGAAGCCTTCCTCATCCTTCCTCTCATCCTCCACTTGACTCAGGTCACCCTCGTGCGTCTTCCAAAAACCCAGGGGGCGCACGCCCGAAGTGCCCACGACATGCATCGATGGCGAAGAAGAGCGGCCGCAAGAGGAGGCAGGCCTGAGAAGAGCAGCGGCAGCACACCGACCCTCGCCGTAGGGACCGAGGTGGTATACAGGCTAGCGCCACCCGCTTCCAACCATGTTCCTCCTCCTCCTCCTCCGCCTCCTCCTCCTCCTCCGCCTCCTCCTCCTCCTCGGCCTCCTCCCCCTCCTCCTCCTCCGCCTCCCCCTCCTTCGATGCGGCGAGAGGGGGAAGGCTGGTGGCCAAACCCCCTCCAAGTGAGTCTGCCTACCTAACCACCCACGCCGTCCAGCCGCCCAAGCACGGACACTGCCTCAGAAGACGAACGTGAAGGCGGCCTCAAGCACGCAGACGCTCTCGAACCCAAACTTCCACCACATACAATCAGGCGCGTGCGTTCACCACATACAATCAGGCGTGTCCCTGACCAGAAAGTGAACACCCAACTACATTTACACCACATACAATCAGGCATGTCCTTGACCAGGATGTGAAAACGGATACGTTAGTCACCAATCCTCCACGAGCCGCTGACGTATCCCCTTGGTCACCAGCTTCTGCAAGAGCCAGGGACGGGTCGCGCGACCGCAACACAAGGACCAACCATGGCAACACAATACACAGGCCCATGGGCTTCGAGAGAAAGGGCCGCGGCAGCCAATTTGGCCAAGGCCGAAATCCCCGAGGGGGACGGCCTTGAGCCAAAATGGCTACGGCCTCCCCCTCCTCCTCCTCCTCCTCCTCCTCCTCCTCCTCCTCCCTCCTCCTCCTCCTCCTTCTCCTCCTCCTCCCCCTCGAGGACGGAAGGGCAGCCTGCCCGAGGCGCTCTAAGCCGCCCGCGTCGCCGCCGCCGTAGCCGCCCTTCTGCTGCGGGGCCCCGCCACCCTCCAACGGCTCCCGGGGCTGGCCAAAGCCCCCCTCCCGGCCAGCGAAGCCGTCCCTGCCCTTGCCGCCGCCCTTCCTGTCGGGGGGGGGGCTTCGGGGACCCCTTCCCTTATCCCGGAGGGCGAGGGGAGGAGGAGGAGGAGGAGGAGGAGGAGGAGGAGGAGGAGGAGGAGGAGGAGGAGGAGAAGGAGAAGGAGGAGGAGGATGGACAGCGCCTTGAAAGGTCGGGAGGTGACAGCACGAAAAGCTTGGGGGGATCGACCCGAGTTGAACCGCCCCTGAGGCTCTTGCCTCTTCTTAGGAGGACCAGAGCAAACCGAAGATGCATCAACAATGCTGGAATAAACCCTCCGGGACCAAGTCCACTTCTCATGAGTCTCTACAAGCCTTCTTCCCATTGCAAGAGTCTCTCCGTTGAAAGGCCAGCGCCCAATTGGCCTGAAACTCAAGGTAGAGCCCCGTTTTGAAAAGGAACTGCATTATATCCTTCTAGCACGCACTCAAGGATGCAATAAAAGTATCCCAGTGCGACCCTACCTAGGAGTTGGAGCATTTAGGAAAGCAACATCTACATCTACACCGACAGCTACATATACATCTACACCTGCATCTACATCTACATCAACATCAACAGCGAGACTCACATCTGCATCTACAGCTACACCTACATCTACACCTACATATACATCTACATGTACATCTACATCTACACCTACATCCACATCTACAGATACACCGACATCTACATCTACATCTACACGTTCGCATTGGTGTTGTTGTTTGCTTTGCAATGCCTTTGTTTTCGCAATGCGCTATGCTATGCTATGTTATGCTATGCTATGATATGGCATGCTGCGCTATGCGATGATATGCTATGATATGATATGGTATGCTGTGCTATGCGATGCTATGCTGTGATATGCTGCGCTGTGCTATGTTAAGCAATGCTACGATCTGTTGTTATGTGGTATGCTGCGCTATGCTATGCTATACTATGCTATGATATGATATGCTGAGCTATGCTATGATATGCTTGGCTATGCTTGGCTATGCTATGCTATGCTGTGCTGTGCTAATGCTGCGCTGCGCTATGCTGCGCTGCGCTAAGCTAAGTTAAGGTCAGCTAAGCGATGCTAGGCTAGGCTAAGCTAAGCTAAGCTAGGCTAGGCTAAGCTAAGCTAAACCAAACTAAGCTAAACTAAGCTAAGCTAAGATGAAATAAGCTAAGCTGAGCTAAGCTAAGCTAAGCTAGGCTGAGCTGAGCTAAGCTAAGTTCGGCTAGGCACAGCGAAACTAAGCTAAGCTAAGCTAAGATGATATAAGCAAATCTGAGCTAAGCTAATCTAAGCTAAGCTTAGCTAAGCTAAGCTGGGTGAACCCAGGGGGCGCAACTGGGGGAACTGCGGGGCGGATCCTGGGGGAACCGCCCGGGGCGATATCCGCTGCCCGGCCCCTTTAAGCCAAGACAGTAAGAACCCTTCTAGGCAGAGCCTGGGTAGGGAAATATGATCATACAGTCCAACAAGGTGTCCCGCGAGATCCCCCCTTTGAAAAAGGAACGCACCCAACCCGTGTAACTACTGCACAGGTTTACACGTATGGCCATGAGCTCCGAGGCAGTCTCAAGCGAGAGCCCCAGTTTGAAAAGAAACCGCACTCCACAGCCGTGGAAACTTATGGCCTTCCAAATGAATGAACTCTCAAGCGAGAGCACCACTTTGAAAAGGACTTCTATCCACGCGGCTTCTGCAAAGCGCTGAAACGCATGCGCGCGTCGCTCAGACAAGAGCCCAGTTGTTTAAAGGAACCGCCCTCATCTTTGTAACTGCTGCACAAGTGTAAACAGAAGGCACGGTGATGAGGCGAGAGCGCAATGTTGAAAAGGAATCGCCGTCCATCCTTGCAACTCCTGCAAGCTTTTGCTAAAGATGCGCGCGGCGTCTCGGCGAGAGTCTTGTTTTCAAAAGAATCCGTCGTCCATCATTGTAATTGCTTCAAGCTTGTAAGACTCATGCACGCGGGGCTGAGGCGAGAGCCCCATGTCGACCCCCTGTCCATCCATTCTCGTAACTATAGCAGCCAGTGTGAGACGAATGCGCACGCCGTAAAGGCGAGAACTCCATATTGAAACGACCCCACTCCATGCTGAACGCCCGGTTCCCCTACCCACACGTCTGGGGAGTGAGGGCGGCAGGGAGGGATGGAAGAGGTGACCACTTCCTGGGCTGCGGGGGTCACAGGGGGGGAGGATGAGGAGGAGAGAAGACAGGGAGCAGGCAGAGGGAGGGAAGACAGAGAGGCAGAGAGAGAGGGAGAAGGAGACACAGAGCGAGAGAGAGGGAGAGAGGGAGAGGGGGAAAGAGAAAGTAGAGGAGATGGATATGGAGGGGGGGACTGGAGACAGAGAGAGGAAGAGAGGAGGGATATTTGGAGAGAGGGAGAGAACACACTAAACAGAAGGAGAGATGGAGAAAGAGAGACAGAGAGAGGGCGAGGGAGGGGAGAGGGGGAGGGAGAGGGCAAGCCAAGCGCGTGCGCGCCATACCTGGCATCCAACCCCTCCCGCCCACCCCTTCCCATTGCGCTTTTACTCCTCCAACCGCGGACGCGTCCCATAGCGGACCTGGACCCTCCCAGAAGAACCCATCGTAATCGGAAATGGTGAGCTGTGCACACTAGGGGAAGGAGGAGGAGGAGAAAGAGGAGGAGGAGGCGGAGGAGGAGGAAGAGGTGGAGCAGGAGCAGGAGGATGAGCATGAGCAAAAAGAGGAGGACGAGGAATGACGGAGGAGGACGAGGACGAACCAATCCGGATCCGGAAACAATGTGTTTGCCCGGATCTCGGAAAGTGGCCCGCACCAGGGCGAGAGCGTCGTTCAGAACGACGGGAGCAAATCGCCGATCCAAAAATGCTGCCAGAGCTTTGAGACACTGACGTCGTTCCGAATGAAACCAACATGCGGGAAGACCCGAGGAGGAGGAGGAGGAGGAGGAGGAGGAGGAGGAGGAGGAGGGGGAGCCGGTGTTGCCCTCTGAGTGACAGCAGTCCGCGGAGGGGGCGGGCCACTCCTTTGCAATCTTCGGGGGAGACAAGCAACTGTAAGGGGCAATAGAGAGAGAGAGAGAGAGAGACAGAGAGAGAGAGAGGGAGGGGCAAGGGGGACGGGAACTGACAGCGGGGACACAAGGAGATGGAGAGGATGGGAGGATGCAGCAGAAAGAGCAGGGAGATAAAGCGGCAGAGAGAATGAGGAGGAGGAGGAGGAGGAGGATGAGGAGGAGCAAGAGGAGGAGGAGGAGGAGGAGGAGGAGGAGGAGGAGGAGGACGGAGGACGGAGGACGAGGAGGATGATGGCGGCGAGGAAGAGGGCGAGATGACGTCATTAGCCTGCCGCCGCCTCCTGCTGCCCTGGACGCCTGGCCCCCACCAGCTTCAGCTTTCCCCCTCCTCCTCCTCTCCCTCTTCCTCCTCCTCCTCATCATCATCATCCTTCTCCTCCGTCTTCTTCCTCATCCCCCCCCTCCTCTGACCTCACTCCATTGTCCTCTTCTGGATTCCTCCTGCCTTCCTCCTCTGCCCCGTAGTCATGTTGGGTCACGTCGTGAGACTGTTCGGCCCAGGACCTGACCTTACTGGCGCGGGGGAAGCGACGGCCTCCGACAGTTCATACCTCGTGGCCTGGTCTGACGAGGAGGTCGGCACCTCTGCGAGCTCCTGCTGGAGCGTTCGGCGTACCCTGGGGCTCACCCCCGTTCTCAGCAATCACGTTCCGTTCTGGGCACACCTCATCTACACCATGGCGCCTCTCTCCATCTATCTGTTTTTCGCGGCGAGTCTGCAGAGGGCTGGAATTCGGCTCGGGCTCCTGGGGTTACGAAGCACAAGGGCCCATTGTGGAAGTGCCCTGGATGCGGATGCAGCAATGATCCCTCGACCTACAGATGGTGCAAGCTGGAGACCTGCTGGACTTGATGGAGTTCATCGTGAGCTCACCCCAGGTTCCCAGTGGGCCAAAGGACCTCCCAAAGAAGCGCCTGCTGTCGACGTCTTTAGCCTCGGCCGCGAGGAGCTGAAGGTAATGTCTATTTCAGCAGGCAAGTGTGGGCGAAAGGATCTTGCTCACCCATGGTAGTTCCGCATCAATCAGCTGGACAAGTCCCCCCCCCAGCACCTCTGCTGGAGAGTCAGCTGGTATCGGCAAGGGATATTCTCGATGACCAGGAAGCTAAGCTACAGCCTGCGATGAACAAGTACCACACATGGCAACATGATATTGAACAGCCTTGGCAAGACATCGGCACGGTTAAGGAGAAGCTTGGCGAGCTCCAGGCGAACTACGACAGGATCGCCGTGTCCGTCGCCTCCTCTGCCACCTGTCCCAAGGCCGAAGCTCCCCAGCATTGCTCGATGGGAAGTTGGATGGGTTCGTCGTCAAGTTTGGCAATGTCGTCGACCTGGGTTATAGAGGTGACTTGGACAACAACGATGTTGAGCAAAATGCTCGCGAGGGGCACCACAAGCAGAAGGCACGGTTGGCGGCTGAGCGCAGGCGTGCCGAGGAAAGACCCACTCCTGCTCCAGAGGCTCAGGGTACTGATGCTGCGGGGCAGCCTGCAGACGACCCTGCTCCCACCCCAGGTACCAGAGGAGGAGGAAGAGTAGGAGAAGGAAGAGGAGGAGTAGGAGGAGGAAGAGGAGGAGCCCCTCCTACCAGGACGAGTGGCCTCAGGAAAGGTCTCGTTCGAGCAGGAGCAGGCTCGGCGTAAGCGCGAAGGCAGGCACGACGTCGTCCTGACGCACGCCAAGCGGCGCAACCTACCGCGGCATCTACAAGGCGCCACTAGTTCTTTCTCGGGGTACCGAGGGCCGCCTCGCATATGAGAGCCTCAAGCTACCAAGTCGTCTACCTCGGCGACCCCCTCATCCCCGCTGGCGCACGATTCGGCTCTGAAAACTTGGTCCGGAAATTGGCAAAACTTTTCAAACGTAACTCCACGAGGGTCTGGACTTTCGCATGTCTCGCCCAGGCAGCGGCAGGGCACTTTACGAAAAAACGCCGCCCCAGACACTTTTGT